TTAGCGCGCTATTTCGAAAGGGCCGCTCATTCTCCGGGACAGTAGCTAGGTGGCAGTATGCATCCTTTACTGTGTATAACGAGCCGTGATGAAATCCGGAAGTAAGGGGCTTCCCAGGATGCAGCGCGTTTTCAGGAACTAAAATGTGTAATCAGCTGACCTGAAAGGTTTGCTTTGCAGTGAGCCGTACGATTGTTTTTCTTTTTAAATATTTTGCCCAAGACTAGAAAATTGTGCGTAAATAACAGAATTATGCTGCGACCGAAAGCTTTGACTCAAGTTCTTAGTCAGGCAAACACAAGCGGAGTACAGAGTACCCTGTAAGTATACAACTATGCAGCTCATTTGACAGATCTAGCATGTTAGTTTACTGTTACGTACTGTAGTGTTGCAGTATAATCATGTTGATAAGTATATTATGTGAAAATGGAAACTTTCGTGATGCAGTTAAGCTTTCCACTGGATAGAAACAAAATGTCCAGTTTCCGTACAGATGTCTACTAGGATCTACATAACCTGAAGCATATTCTTCCTTTTTTCATAAGAAAGAAACTGCATGCTGGATAACAAAATAAATGAATTTAATATTTTCTGCAGTATCGTCGTCTGATTATTATGGCATTGCTGTAAACGTGTTTATTGTTGTTGTCTTGAAAACTACAGGCTGTTAAATAACGAGGGGTCACTCCTGGCCTATTCGGGTTACGGCGACACGGACGCGCGCGTCACGGCGGCCATCGCCAGTAACATCTGGGCCGCCTACGACAAGAACGGACATCAGGCATTCAATGAGGACAAGCTCAAGTTCATCCTCATGGACTGCATGGTGAGACCGAAAGGTCTGCAGATGTGTCAGGCCCACCACAAAGTATTTGATATAATTATTATTATTTAATTAATATCTACATCGAGCAGGCTGGAGTGGGGACTCTGAGCCTTGGGATTTGTGCCAGCAATTGGAAAGTTGCTGGTTCAAATCCTTTTAATTCCTGGAGTGACTCTACTCCATTGGGCCCTTGAGCAAGGCCTTTAACCTGCAATTACTTTGTCCTGGGTATGACATCATCCAGCCCTGTATGGATGGCCTTCAACTTACAGGGAAAAACTTGGGGGTTGGTGGCAGGATTGGCACTCCAGCCACCAGAAAAAAACTCACACTGGTCCATTCGGAATGGTGCTGAGGTATCTCATCCCTGAGGTGGTTTGTCACACTGTAATGTAATCATCATGATGCCACAATATCCAACAGAATGTCTTCTCTGCCTTCTTTTCATGGAATGGGTTATTCCTCCAGATTTCTTGAATTGTTTGATGATTATTCACTGTAGAGGGAGAAATGTGCATATCCCTTCCAATCATTCTTTGAGGAACATTGTTTTTGAACATTTCAATAATTTTCTCACACATTTGTTGACAAACTGGAGATCCTCTGCCTATCTTTGCTCCTCAGACCAAATCATGATTACAGTCACCAGTTGACATCCTCATATTTTTTTTTCACCTCATTACCAGCCCTAAATTGCCCCTGATCCAACCTTTTTTGGAACGTGTTGCAGGCCTGAAATGCAGAAATGATGTATATTAACAAATGAAATGAACTTGACCGGACAAAACATGAAATATCTTGGGTTCGTACCGTCTGTAATGAAATTAAACCTAATTTCAGAATCACTTTTTCTCATATGAGATAGAACTTTAGAATCTTGTTTCTTTCTTTTCCTTACCATCCCAACTTTTTCTGATTTAAGGTTGTATATGTGAAGAATTATCTTTGCATGGGGATATTTGTAATGCACATGCAATGTTACAGAGGATGTTTGTTTCTTTTGCAGGAGGGAAGGGTGGCCATCACACGGGTTGCTAACCTGTTGCTGTGTATGTATGCTAAGGAGACCGTGGGCTTTGGGATGTTGAAGGCCAAGGTGGGTTTGGCTTCATGAGCATCACACACAACGTGCCGCTTTTAAGAAGCTTCTTACCCCATGCAGGGTTTGCTCTCCAGAAACATTTCCATAGTACAATGTAATACAGAAACAACATCACTATGGTCTGTTTTAAAGGAATCAATGACTTGGCTGTTAGTGTTTTATTACGAGTGATATTAATTTTCAGCCTAACTTTGAAGCTTTCGGCGAGTTTTCTGTGCTTTTATATCCTCTTATCATGCACATATTTCACAAACATTTTTTTTTATAATGGTAAAAAATGTAACGCCATTGTCCAGATTAAGTACCTTTTCTTACTGGAAAATTTGCATATTGACGTATTTGAACGTTCGGTTATAATTGCTTTTGTAACCACAGTCCTGGATGCTTCTGTGGAAATTTGTCATTTTAGTGTGACAGTAGGTAAAGGAAAATACCATCGACAACACATAAACATCCTGTTAATGATTATTTGTTTATAATTAAGAGAATTGGTTCTTAATGTGCTTCAGAGTAAGCAGTTGTGTAATAGCAGACCTATCTGTTATACGATTTGTACTGATTCATTGTGAAAAGTTTGTATTGAGAATTCATTTCTTTTAGGCTGAAGCACTAGTGGAGTACTTGGAAGACCCCTTGACCCAAGTGGCTGCGTCATAGAAGAGGACCGTGACAAAGTCATTTGGGTTTTCTGTCTGAAAACATCAAAGGAAAAGTGTCAAATAAGGGCCATAAATGGACTATGGATTTCTGTGTGTTGTTGACTCGCAGCATTTATAAAATACAGCAGTCCTGAAGTATTTATCCGCTGAGCATGTTAGTGTTTGCATTGTTTTGTTTGTTTTTTGATTCTGTTTCTGATACTCTAATATTAAGATACATGGGGAACAGGTTGAGGTGTTTATTGAAATTCATCAGAAGTGGTATATTTTAAATATCATTCTTGATTGTAAATGCCATAAAATTGATGAATGGGAAATTAAAACAGTTTTTGCTACAAGTTATTGCGAGCTGTACTCTGTCTTTAGCAGAAAATTAGAATGTTGGTTAATAGAATTTTTTTTTAACTGGTTTTCAGTGCTTAGGGCAGAAATTGAATCAAGCAGTGAGTAAACTGTGCTTTAAACTGGCTTCAGAATATTAACCATGTGTTTCTCTTCACTGAATAATCATTTAAGACTTTACATTAAGCCTATCGGGTTGAATAAATCGCCATGCTTTGTTGAATTAAATAATTGCAGCACTAATGGTGATTTTGAAGTAAAGAGTATTAACATTTTGTGATGTAATATACATGTAGTATGTCTCAGTGGTCAGTCTGGGGAGGCTAGACATTGTGCAGAATTGGTCACCACAATCGTCACTTGGTGTTGGTATGCTGAACAGGTAACATTTGGATACACGGCATCGCTGGCTGTTTATTCATACACTGGTATCTCTTCGTGCATCGTCAGACTGTCAAGAAAGTCTGCGTGTTCACTTTAATCGAGAGACTTCAGTCATTTTGTGGTTGGTGAGATCATTGTGTCCTATTCTAAGTGTATTCCTTACAGTCATTTGGGAAACCTTGACTCCCGCAATGACTAGATTTTCCAAAAGTCGAACATAATGTAAATGGGAAATGTTACGGTTTTCCATCAGTTGTTTAAACTGTTACCCCACTGTCGGACCACATTGTTTCAGGAAATTTTACTGGCTATGACTCATGAAATGAGTGAGAGCTACCGTATAGGAAAAGTTTTACCGTTCAACTGTACTGCATAAAAATACCACCTCATGTTTATACATCAGTACACTGTTCCCTTTTAAGTTCACTAGATCTTTTTTTTTTTTTTTTTTTGATTATTAGAACTTAATTCTGCTTTGGTTCAAACTACCATCAATTTCTAGATGAATAATGTAAAATATATGGAAAATATAATACAAATGAGAATGAAATTTGCATAAGTATATGTAAAAAAAAAAAATAATACAATTAAATACTTATTTTTATTGATAACTAAAAGATCACCACGTATATCGTCTAAGTCTGGTCTAAGTCGTATATCACCTAAGTCTGGTTGTCTACTGTAAGCATGATTTCATGTTACTGATCCAGCCTTTAATTTAGCTTTTTATTTTACCTTATTAGTGACATCATGATTAAAATGAAAAATATCCAGGCTGTATGTATATGAATGTATTTTGCAAAGGATAAATTAAAATATTTATTCTCTGTGATAATACAAGTTCTGGTGCTGTAGAAATTCAATCAGACTTCATGATTTTCTAAATCAGGTTCAATGTCACTGCTAAAATAATTCAACAACACAAATTTTTGCTGGGTTAGTCTACTGTTCCCATGTATAGTTGTAGTCCGTTCCATATTCGAAGTAACTTACATGAACAGTCACCCTGCAGTACAATGTATTTGAATCCATCCATCCATTTTCCAAATCGCTTATCCTTTTTGGGTCGCGGGGTGTATTTGAATCCTTTGCAGAAATCTTTATCCGAAGCAGATTACAAAATCTCAGTTTGATTATTCCAAAAATACTGCCTGACTTTTATCTGAATATTGAGTTTGGTACCCAAAATGAGAAACGTACAGCAGTAAACACACAGACACCTGTATAATGATTTCGCTATTGGGGGACAGTATTGAGCTTGTGTGACTATAAATCATACCAGCCAAGAAACCTTGTGCCCAGCTGACCCTGGAGGTACTGTATGAAGCGACAGCGGTACCCACAAAGCCTAGTCTTGACTAGTATACAAGCTCGCAAATATAATATTATCTAGCCGGTGACATAAAAAAATCATTTTGTGAACGCTTATAATGTTCATAATTTCTTGTACTCTTTACATTTTCCACGTGGCAACCGATTTGTGGTCATTGCGCACTTGATAAAAGTTACAAATATCATGCCATCGCTCCTGGTAACTGCAAGCAATCAGGACGAATGGCGGACAATATTTAAGCAGAAGGTGACAGAAAGGGGCGTTATTGTAGTGATATTTGGCCAGTCAGAGAACTCAGCGGCAGGCCCGTTTTCGCTATTAGTCGATATGAAAGCGAGAGGCGGGGCACTAGATATGACGCACACAGTACGAGGAGAGTCTGCTGGTGACAACTGGAACATCGGGAAGTTTCTCCCCAGTGCATTTGCGTTATACAACGCAGGCGAATCAATTCTTTAAAACAAAGTTCATGAATATGCACAAATACGTTTGTGCGAATGCGTCGGCATAACAGTCAATACATATTCATCTTTTCTAAAGAAAACATCGTAAGTATCAGACCAAATCGCTTTGCTCTCAGTACGTCCCAGGTGGCACAAAAGTAGTCTGTCTGAAGAGGACTAGTTAGTTCTGCCACCTCGGTTCCCTAAAGGACACTTTTGGTGACATAGTGTTTTTTGAAGGGTGTGTTGATAAATGACTTCATCAGGGTAGGTGGGTAGGTCTGTATTCCGTGTAGTTACTTGTCGTTTTAACTTGATACATGTCTAGACTAACTGTTAAAATTGAGCTGGCTAATTTGGATTTTGATTAACCTAAATATTCTCGTGTCTCAAAAACGCTATTTTTTTAGTTAGACGGGAAAATGATATGTTATAAAAGGTTACCTCCTTCTAGTGAAGACTATTTAGAAGACATCAGTCCCTCGTTGATGTCAGTATTATTGAATCATTTATTATTTGTTCACTCTGCTGTCAGTTTTAATCTTTAATTTCGTGGTGAACATCTTATGACTGACTTAGATCCTCATTTGTTTCTCTAACCAACATGCTTCTCACCGTAATACCAAGTGTCACGCACACTGCAAACATTTTGAATTATGGATTCTGTTTGAATAAATTAAAGCATTAAATGGCATATTGTAAACACTGCGATCTTAATTTTAATCATCATGATGCCACGAAATCCCACAGAATGTCTTTTCTGCCTTCTTTTCATGGAATTGCCAGGAGTTGAAATTGCACCATATACGTCACTCAGTTGACATTTCAGTTGTATACAAAATACTGAACTATTTTGCTTGGGCTTATGAATGCCTTTGGGCAGCTGATGTTACTACTGCACTGGCGTTTTATTTTTCATTGCTATGCAGACTGACTAATGAACAGAAACCCTCATTTAGCCTCATCAAACAGACATCTGTTTATTCCTTTGCTGTACTGGCTTAATGTTTCGCAGACTAGCCCTGCTGATAAACATTCTGCTTGTGCTCTGTTTGTTTAAAGTCAGACGTTTTGTTCTTTTGTTAAACATACCGTGCCTTACCTCATGCTATGCACCCTTACAATATCATGAATTTGTGTTTAAGAAACTGGAACAATGAAAGTTTTGTCTCATTTTTCTGTAATATCCTGGATGGATGGATGGACGGACAGACAGATGGTCGTCTGCCGGTCAGTCTGACGGTGTGTGAAATTACCTGATGAGACCAAAGGGCACTGGCAGGAGACCCTGAAAGTTGTCAATCACAATGCTGGTCAGTGAGTCACCTCTACCTCTCAACATGGAGTGCATGATCAGGTTCACCAAATCCAGCTGAATGTGAAATGATACCAGAACACTTTAAGAATATAATATTCTGTTTCTTGTACAGAAGAATTAAAGATTAATTGAGCTTATTCATTATGGGAGATGGGGGGGCACAAGTGCGTTTGCCAGCCCCTGTGGGTAACACAGTCATAAATACAGTGGCAATCAAGACTTCTTTGTGTGTAATTCTTTTGTCGACTTATATTGTTTCATACTTGTTAAATATCTGAACAATAAAATGCAGTAAAGTTGGTCAAAGGAAACTGCTCAAACCCACCAACAGATGCTGATATTTAGTAGATGCAAGAGTTATATGAAACTGAATAAGACAAACAAAGAAAAATGGTTAATTTCCCCTTCTATTGATACTGGCAGGAAAACGTAGCTATGTGGTGGAGTTTCAAGTTGTGTTTTTCTGTTCAAGACCAAAATACTATGTTTTGGATATTTGTTATTTTTTAGCAGAAAAAATTCAGATACTGAATGGAAAGAACTTTTAATGACAATCCATTTTGAAGTATTCCCTGCCCAATTAACGCAATTTTATTGCAGGGGACTCAACTGAATGATTCATCATGAAGTATTTTAGCAAAGGTAAGTGCATATTGTCTAATATATTGGATTTATATTTTTGCTTTAATACCTTTAAATGTCCTGTTTTTTTTCCTGTGATAATGTATGATAATTAAATATGAATTTGTTTCAGACTTGTCTTTTTTGCAATTTCATAACTAGGCTATCAGGTTATTTGGAATGAGGCATTGTTGGTAATGCTTTTACATTATTCCTGTTTTTTTAGTTTATGATCCTATTCAGGGTATAGCTGGATTCTTGGCATGCATGTGTATGATGTTGTACTCTATACCTGCAGTTCCCTCAAACTAGTAATTCATAGTTAAACACTAGGTGGCATCAAAGTCCAACTCATTGGTGTTTACATCCATCCATACTACTAATAACTGTGTGTCTAATTCAGGGTTATTGGTGTGGAAGGCTGGAGCCTGTCCCAGGCAGCATAGGGCGCAGAGATGGGGAACATCCTGGATGGCATGCCAGTCCATCACAGGGCACGTACATTGACACCCTCACACACACTGTGGATGGTGTAGAGACACACGCACACACACACAGCAGAAGTCAGAGTTGAACCCCCAGCCCTGAAGGTCCAGGGTAGCAGTGCTGATCGATGAGTCACCCTGCCCACTGGCGTTTCTGTGTTATATTTAATCTTCTGTGAGTTTATAAGTATTATTTATTATACGCAACCTTAAACGGACACTATCTTAATGTCTTGAAGTTTAATCACACCCCCATCTCTTCAAAATAAACTTTTTTTTTTTTGTTAGCAAAAGTTGATACAATATTTTTACGCTAAAATCTTGAATGGGTTGCTGATCCTCCATGATCAGGCATCTCTCTTTGGAAACAGTGAACAGAATGCTGTCAAGAAAGCTCATATAGCATGAGAGCTGTTCTGAAGTGCAGGAACCATGAGAAGGTCTTCAGGCAGCCTTCACGAGCGTGACGGTGTGAAATGCTGAGGTGGGAGATTGACGCACCCCAGGGGATTAGGGTGGAAGGTGTGGAAGTGAAGGTGGTTCAGAGAAGGTCAGGCTATGGACAGATAGGTTTCAAGCCGAAGCCTTATGCAGATACACTATATTGCTGAAAGTTTTGGGACACCTGCCTCTACACACACATGAACTTTAATGACGTCCCATTCTTAATACATAGGCTTTAATATGGAGTTGGCCCACCTTTTGCAGCTATAACAGCTTCAACTCTTCTGGGAAGGCTGTCCACAAGGTTTAGGAGTGTGTTTATGGGAATTTTTGACCATTTTTCCAGGAGAGCATTTGTGAGGTCAGGCAATGATGTTGGAGAAGAAGACCTGGCTTGCAGTCTCCGCTCTAATTCATCCCAAAGATGTTCTGTCAGGTTGAGGTCAGGGCTCTGTGCAGGCCAGTCAAGTTCCTCCACAGCAGACTCACTCATCAATGTCCCTATGGACCTTGCTTTGTACACTGGTGTTCAATCATGTTAGAACAGGAAGGGGCCATCCGTAAACTGTTCCCACAAAGTTGGGAGCATGAGATTGTCCGAAATGGCTTTGAATGCTGCAGCATTAAGAGTTCCTTTCACTGGAACTAAGGGGCCAAGCCCAACCCCTGAAAAACAACCCCAGACAATAAATCCTCCCTTCACCAAACTTTTCACTTCAAACAATGCAGTCAGGCAAGTAACGTTTTCCTGGCATCCTGCAAACACAGACTCATCCATCGAATTGCCAGACAGAGAAGCATGATTCGTCCCTCCAGAGAACACGTCGCCACTGCTCTACAGTCCAGTGGCTTTACACCACTGCATCCAATACTTTGCATTGCACATGGTGATGTAAGGCTTGGATGCAGCTGCTCGGACATGGAAACCCATTCCATGAAGTTCTCTATGCACTGGTCTTTAGCTAATCTGAAGGCCCCATGAAGTTTGGAGGTCTGTAGCTATTGACTCTGTAGACAGTTGGCGACTTCTGCACACTGTGCACCTCAGCATGCCTTGTTTCCGCTCTGTGATGTTACGTGGCCGACCACTTTGTGGCTGAGTTGCTGCTGTTCCCAATTGCTTCCACTTTGTTATAATTCCACTAGAAGTCCACAGTGGCATATTTAGTAGCGATGATATTTCACAAATGTACTTATTGCACAGGTGGCATCCTATCACGGTACCACGCTTGAATTCACTGAGCTCCTGAGAGTGACCCATTCTTTCACAAATGTTTGTAGAAGCAGTCTGCATGCCTAGGGGCTTGAGTTTATATACCTGTGGCTATGGAAGTGATTGGAACACCTGGATTCAATGATTTGGAGGGGTGTACCAATACTTTTGGCAATATAATGTATGTAAGAACATCTGAGATATGGAGTGTAAAGCTGACTGGAGAGATTAAATGCAGGCACAGGGCAGAGGACCGTCTGGCTGGAATGCCAGTCCATCACAGGATTTTACAGGATATGTGCTGCACAGATAGATAGATAGATAGATGGATGGATGGATGGATGTGCATCATTATCCCACCACCGTAAAGTTGAAATATCGTAAGCCAAACCATCGTAAAGCGATTGAGTTTTGTGAACCTTAGTAACAGTGGAGAACCAGAGTAAAGCAATTGAGTTTTGTGAACCTTAGTAACAGTGGAGAACCAGAGTCCCAAAGGCAGATGTCTCTCTGACAGCAGAGAGTTGGGCCACATCTCTTTACGAATGACAGCTGCCATTTACTGCACGTCCACATGATGTCACCTGAACATATGGGACTGGAGGTGCAAAATTACAGTTATATTCAGAGAAGAAGAAATATGAAAGAAAGGCAGTCTGGTTCTGAGAAGTAAAGATATTGCTGCAGTTTTTATAAGTCATATTTTATATTAGATGGGCCCCGAATAATGGTTCAGTGTTGGTATTTTAATCTGCCCTTATCTGAACTGAACAATGGTCTAATGAATGCCAGGCCTTGTGATATTATATGCTGTGTGGTAGGGCAGCATGACTGTATTACGATATACCCCAGTATATAGAAATCCTGAAGGTATTTTTAATACTGTCAAAAGTACAGAAACCCCTCTTTCTATTAAATCCATATGGAGATGTATTGAGGCGTCACATTGTAGTGCACAGTGTTAGCGGCAATTGGATCCTCACTTTAGTTAAAAGAAGACAAAGAATAACATGCATGAATACGCTAATGCCACAAAATGTGAATGCGGCATGAGCTGTCGGAGCATGCGCAGCACACGTGCAGCCTAGTGCGCATGCGGCTGCAGATTGGGCAGGTGCTGCAGATAGGGCATTCTGTATACCGGGGTGAAATGTCAAGAACGTAGGACTGTATGAAAAAATAGATGCCAGCCAAGCCTACTACCGGGAAACCTTGGTGTGTTTCTGATGCACTTGTGTCTCGTGCTTCCTTACTTTTCGCTGTAAATCATACCCTGACTGCTAGTGAAGCGAAAGGGTTTGCTGGAGCAAATTAAGTGTGGCTTAGGGTTAGGGCGTTCTCTACTGATTTATGTCTTGCCTTCCATGCAGATGCAGTTGTGTGTTATTTGAGACTTGAGACGACATGCTTTATAAATGGAGGTGCTTCTTGTGTATTCCTCCTTTTGTTTGTTATTCTTTCCCCGGGTCGTAATAAGTTGGCAGCATGGGGGTCCTGTGCGTAACTCAGTAACTACGCCATGTCTGTGGGTGTACAGTTTGTTCCTGCCCCTGGCTTTGTGTTCGTGCGTGTGTGTGTGTGTATGTGTGCGTGCGCTTTTGTAATTTTTAAATAGTGGGGACCAGAATTCCCAACAATATCTTAAAAACCCGTGTCCCACAATGATAACCTAAATTTGATAAATATCTGTGAACGCAATCAAAAAACAAAAAGATCCAAAATTTTGTTTGGTTACTTATGGTTAAAAGTTAGGGCTGGATAGGGGTTACGGTCGTCATAGCTGGGATTAGGATTGCGCCCATAGAAATGAATGAGTCCCGATAAAGAGATGAATACGTGGACTGTGCTGCCCGTATATGTGTCCGTCTCCATGTGTGTATATGTGTGTGTATGTGTGTGTTTGTGCATTTGACTGATTACTCCATTTTCCTTACAAAGTCCAAAAATGAGCTTCAGTTGAACTAATGTCTCCAAATCATCCATAATGTGAATGTCAATGCATTGCCCCTTTTTAACATTTAGGACCCGTCATTGGAAAATACTTTCATTAGGCTATTGAATCTAACCTAGTTTTCATTAGGTACCTGTCTTGATTGTGTCACACTAATTTAAACTGATTTATAGCTGTTTGTCTATTTCTGTTTACAGCCTTCTGCCAGCATATTTCTTCCTAACATCAGTGCTGTCAGAGCATCACCAAACTTGTTTCTTTTCAAATAATAATCTTTCCTGTGATACTTTAGTCATTGATCTCACTGCCTTTTCTCTCAGCCACGAAAAACACTTGAAAACAGACTTATTTGCTGAAAACTGTTGAAATCGCCCTGAAACACCGTAACATTCTTTGGTTTGGCTTAAAAGGCACAGCTGCTGTATCGATTTTTCTCCTAACAGATGATATGATGTGGAAGTGTGTGGATTTGATTATGAAACTTTTCAAATCTACCGTGCAGTGTGTACAGCATGAAGGGTAGAGAACAGGTGTGTAGACAACAGACTATGCAGAATTTTTCCTGTGTCTGAACAGTAGATCATATTAGTCTTGTGGGGTCTGAACATGTGTCTGAACAGAATATGAATTTCCTACTCTTGCTGCTGCAGGTGATGAAACCACACCGTTGGTTCATTCATCTCCGCGGCGCTGCCTCTGCATTGCCTTGGTGGCCGTGTCTCTCAGCATGTGAAGTTTCCTCCATGTTAATGCCACCATGTGTACCTCCCCAGTAGTCCCGCCCACAATCCTCGCTCCGTATTTGAGGGGGGGGGGGTTGGCAGCTGTGGGTTGGGAGTTGGAAGGTTGCCGGTTCAAAATGTCCCCAAAGTGGTAAAACCTGAAACTTTCTTACTTAGGGTTAGGGTTAGGGTTAGGGTTAGGGTTA